ATATATATATATATATATATATATATATATATAGTAGACATAGAAAATTCAGTGATTCTTTAATAGGATATGTAGAATCTAGCATTTGTGAAGGCCCAATATAATTCAATTACTACCGTAATTTTTTGATAGCATTAACAAACCCTAATATCTTAAAAGTTCTAACACTAAATCTTAGAACACATGGATTTGACATGGAACCTGGCTCTTAAAATGTGGCATTAATTTAGGATTTGCTTAAGGTCATGAATACTATTTGTCCAGAGGTCAAAAAAATTAATAATAAAGGACAAACATTATTTTTTCAAACAAATGTAGGAAAATCAAACCTTATTGTTCCAAAAATTGTTTCTTGGAATCAAATTAAACTACCCGAAAGGTAGAGTGTATAATCTGAAGTGCCACCTGAACCTTTAGAAAATAAAGAGTTGGACCATATTTTTTACGTACTCAGATGGAGAAGTTGAGATCCACTTTTCCTCATCTAGGAAAACTAGGCTTACTTTTGAAACTTTGGCCAGAATTCCGGCTAGGAGTTCATATTCATTGGTCCCTCAAACGGATTATGAAAAAGACCATAAAAAAATTATTCTGAAAGGTCTTAAAAAAACTTTGGACCAAGTACAACAGCCTTATTACAGGGTAGAGGCTCTTGGTTCTACGAAAAGAACTCATCAAGTAATTGAAGAACCAGTAAAACCTAGTTTTTCAGATGTAGAATTCCAAATGAATGTTATACAAGAAGAAAAATAATTTATGATAGACAAACCCAACCTAATGGTTTCTAAATGCCTTTCCAGGGAATATAGAGAATGGTTTCTAAATGCCTTTCTAGAGAATCTCAGGAACAAATTTCATGATAAATATTATGAATTTATGGTAAAATAAATTTAATGTCAAATTTTTTAAATGGTTATCTTGGTTTTGTAAAAAACAAAAAATTCTTAACTCAAAATTTTCCAAAAAATAAGATTTTATTAATATACAAGAAAGTCCTTATCAAACATACAAAACCAAGGATGGTGAAAAACTTCAATCAATTCACCCATCTAAAAAGGTAATAGAGGCGCAAGGAATTAAAGCAGCCCCATATAAAATGGAACCTAAAGGTTGGATATAGTTGCTAATTTAGAAAGTATTAATCACATAATAAAACAAAATAATTATATGAATTTATACTTACAGTCTCTGAGAAAACAAACCACCAATATTGAAAATCTGCTCAATAAAGAAATACTTAGAAAAAAGGCTAAAGAATTAGTCATGTTTAAACCACCTCCAAAATTGATGAAATTTTCTTTTACGCTACGTCCTACAAAAAGAAAAGAATGAATTGTTGGATGAACTTATTGGAAGGATATCCAAATTAGACATTTCTAGAAAAGAAAAAGCC